ATCACCTATACTATAACTATCTAAAACTGTAATGACTCATCGATGTTTACGTGAACATCACTTAACTACCAGTGGTCGGCTGTTATTAATAAAGAGTGGTTTGAAACATATTGTAAATCAAAAATTTGGGAATTACCTTTATTCATCGTCGCTTCCTCTTACATCTGACAGTAATAAACTGTCGCTATCGCTTTCCTCGTTGAAATTGACTATAACTGGCTATATGATGGTGTCGATGTGGTGGTCAAGCTGCCACATTTTTGTTTCTTCCTTCACAACATGACGGATAGCATTCTGCCAAGCTTCGGGCGTTACTAGCTGTATGGAAGTCTCAAGTAAAACCTTAACGTCTGGTAATTTGAAGGTTGTGTTATGGCGCGCAATATAACCCTTCACTTGAGCCCAGATGAGCTCTATTGGGTTCAGTTCACAGTGGTAGGGCGGTAACCGCAGCACAGTGACACCACATTGACGGGCCATCTCATCATTCACGTAACTAATGTTCGCAGGTTTGTGCTGTTTAATTTTTTCATACAATTCCGCTTTCACACATGAATCGTCAAACGGGATTCCTTTTTCGCGCAACCATTGCTGCATGTCACTTTTTCGAGATCCCCTAGTCGGTACACGTTCGGCTCGACGACTATGGTAGGAAGCATTATCCATGACGATCACAGAGTTGGGCTCAACTCGCTGAAGCACCGCTTGAAACGAGCTCTCGAAGCAGCTGGCATTCATTTCGTCATGGTAATCACCTCCTTTCTTAGAGACGAAAATCAAATCACACTCTTCTAAAAAGCCACTATCGCTACCAATATGAGTTACGATCAATCTTTGACCTTTCCCTGACGGTCCACGAAGACCTGTTGACAAACCTTCAATGCTTGCTTGTCGGTTACTCACTACGTTTTTGTCTATCCAGGTTTTTTTAACTGTGTGACCTGCATTTGCCCATGTCTCGTCCAAATAATAGATTTTTCTGCTTTGTCGCCTATATTCAATCATTTCGCGTAGGTATTTTCGACGCCAGGCGACTATTTCAGGTCTTCGTAACGAAAATTAATTTCGTGCAGGGATTTCCTCATTACCTCGACGCTCATTTGGGGTATAATTTCATTTTCCTTGATCGCTGCATGTACAGCCTTGAGGGTTGGTATCTCATTCCTAAAGAAGAATGAATGTACGGTTCGCCTTAACGCCATTTTGCTATCGTCATCCAATTTAACGGCCTTTCGTCCCTTCAAATTAAACTTTGGATCAGTAGTAGCTCCAGTTTTCTTCTTTTCATGCACCACCCTGCGAATGGTCCACTCTGGAACGCCTGTCATACTTTCACAACGCGCGAGTGCATCTCCCTGCGACATAGTTCTGTTCAGATAATTGAACACGTTGAGCACGATTTCTTTCGCGTCCCTCTTCAGTGCTTTACGAAGCCGTCTACTTGTTCCCTGGCTTTCAGTACTTCCACTCGTGCCATGTGTACTCTCCATGGTTAAGTATAACCAAAACAGTAACCACAGAAACCACAACAATAACAATCACACAACAATTCTTATAAAAACACACAATATGCGATCGCTCAACGAAACACGTTCCAATGCGTTGCCGACGCCTATGAGTCTGCCGGTCGAGGCGCGTCTTTGATTTCATTGGTTCTACCGGCGGAGAACAGTCAGCCATTATTTCCATCTCTGTCTGTGCTGTTGACCACCGCAAAGCCACAGAAACGACATATGTCATACGCTATACGGCTGTACTGGAAGGAAGCCGGGATCGAGCTCTGATCACGCGTATGAGTCATTACAGTTTTAAATAGTTGTAGTATAGTCCGATGTGGTAGGTGGGTTGACTAGAGTCACAGCTGGAACTGACGCTAGGCGAGAGGCTCAATGCTGTCAATTTTGCCACGCATATAGGCGATGTAAAGTGGGTTGAAATTCAACCAATAGTGTAGCGAGTGATGCTGTGTAAGGTACGGGAGAACAAAAATAGTCCAAGGAACCCATAGTAGGTTTCTATTTTGCTAGGTTGTACATGTACGTAGGTATAAAATTGTGTATCTGTACGATACAGAATAAATGACTAATACTTTCGATATGAAAACCTGGCGCAACGCTACCCACTATTAAGTAATGCTGCAAGCATTACCGTAGTGGGATGTGTGGCGGATGACTGAGGGATTTTAGTGAGTATGCCATTCCTGAAGAATCTCACACTCCGGGCAGGAAGGGTGGTAGCGCAGTACTGTCGAGTTTTTCTGCCTGAGAGTGGCTATAAAAGAATTACCCTGTCAGAAAAAAAGTACTGCCTTTCGCCGCTTAAGTCTTAAGAACCGCTAAAGTAATTTATAATCAGTTACTTGAAGGACCATTACCGGATTCCAAGTACCATCCGACAGTATATTCGATATTGTCTGTAAAGCCGGCATCAAGAAGGATTAACAAGCTATATACATGCACATTTCGTGATCCTCGCAACGGTACCATCGCTTTTTTCTCTGTCTGATGTTCCTCCCATTTCCATCTAGCAAGCTGATATCAGCCTCCTCTCCAGCGTTGTTTCGTGATCGTCGCTTGTTTCGATCCACGGCCGCCTCGTCGTTACAGTTACGTGAAAAGTGTTAGTTAGGCAATTCCTTACTGTTACTTTAAACTTGCCGTTATACTCCACGCTGTCGAACGAAAGTAAACTCACATAGCGGTACTCACTGTGCACGACAGTTCTTCGAACTCTCCGCCGATGGGCCTTTTCCATGATTTAAGTGGGAATAAAGGAAATATATTTTGTCGCTTGATTATTGGGAGCAAGTAGATGAAAATCTGACCATCGCCATCTACCAATGATATGCCAGGCTGCTTTTCGTCCTCATCCCATACGATGAAGACTATATACAGGGTTTGTCCGGAAAGTAATAGGACTCACTTTCTTCCGCCATGACTGTACTTCGGAGCATGCGCGCACCGACTGGATTCGGTAGAGGGCGTTCCTAGCTAACGAATGAGCGGCTGGCCAGTTGTCTCCGAGCACTTGGAGAGTCAGGACAGGCATTTTCGCGCGACGTGTTTCTGTGAGTGGTGCATGCAGCGTTCGTTAGAGCAGAGGTAGGGGAGACCGAGAAGAGTTGAAACAATTTTCACATAATGGCACATAACTTCATAAATAAGTGGTAGCCTAAAAAGTTTAATATACCATATGAAACCTTGCTTACTTGGCTAATGAATAATCAAAATAAAATACGTCACGGTCTACTTCATTTTCAAAAAAATCGATTATAAGTCGACCATTAATTTTGTTGCAATTCTCCTCTTGCTGAGGTAAATTGAAACGCTGACCTAGGAGAGTTGGAACACAAGTATTTGGAAGGTTTCTTTTTTTTAAGAAAGCAGCTTATGAATTCGTAATATATTGAAGTTACTGAACTAAAATGTACCTTATTATTCATTGATGACAACATTGAGATCTTAGAATAAAAAACAACATAAAATATAAAATAAAATAAAAAAGAATAATAAGCGCAACAAAGAACAAAGAAAATAATATTCAGAGAAGCAATTATGGCACACGTAGAACAAGTCTCCTTTTGTACAGGCCAAATGAGCCCATGACTTGCATTCTATACACTGAATCCATTCTTCCTTTGGGACACTTTGGGAAAACGGCTCCATACAAACTACGCAGAAGCAGTCATCATCGTCACTGTCACTACTTTCTTTCTCACTTATTTTTCCTTTATTCTTACAATTCCTCCTTGTTTTGCTAACTGATTTCTTAGTTTTATTTTCTAGGTTTAACGCAGGTCTTTTTACTTTTTTGGTGTTTCTCCTAGCTTCCATGGCATCTAGCTCATTTTTTACAGGAGTGTCAGTTAATATAGCTGACTTTATCTTTCTCCTTTTTTGCGTATTCTTCCTAGCCTCTGTCTTCGGTAGAGGTCTTATTGCTTCCGGAGAAAATACACTGACTGCAGTAGTTACAGTAGATGTATTTGAAGTTGAAGAAACCTCACTAATGGCTGCCGACGTAATAGATACCTTCGAAGTTGATGGCACAGGATAAAGTGAATCAGGGGTAGGAGCAACGTCTTGATTTGAAGACAAAATTGTGGGAGTGCATGATACTTCTGCATTTGCATTAGTATTAGAAACAGTGGAATTATAATAGAGTGAATCATTGATCGGTGGGCTTGGAGTTCGTTCGGCTTCTCTGCTGGTCCTTGGAACTTCAGGATCATCAGTTTGAACAACGGAATCTTCGTGTACAAGTACTGTTGGTGGCAGTGCTCGATCGGTCACCTGACTGGGCAAAAACTCCTCTTCACGAAATATTTCAGTGTTCAATGGCCATATCCCGGTCGTCCGGAATTCTGAAGTTACATTTTTTATGGTGACTGCTATATCAAAGGCAGTTTTAACAATTCCTGGAATGTCATATATTGTCATTACTTCTCCTGGGTGTGAACGCATCCAGTTATCGAATGTTGTATTGATTGCTTTTTTTACAAAGATAGCTCGGTCCATAGGCTGAAGTTTGTGCGTGCAATGTGGTGGAAACGTCAACAGAACGATTCCATTTTTTTGCAAAAGTTGATGTTTTTGACAGCGGTATGCGAAGCATGATTATCTAGTAATAACAAAACCGGATTTTGTTTGGAAGATCGGACGTGATTCTTGAAGTGCTCTATAAAGCAATAAAAATCATCTTCTTGCATCCATCCAGAACCATTGGCTGTTCCAATAGACCCACTTGGACCATCACGAACAAAGTGGTCGTTAAAACGCTTACGGGGAAATATGAACATTGGTGGAATGTAATTACCTATAGCATTGCCAGCTAATGCTAGAGTGACTAAACTACCTCTTTCTGCAGACGTCATGGCGCTGACTTGCTTTTGACCAGTAGGCTTTTGGACAGTAGTTATGCCTGTTTCATCAACATTCCAGATGTCTTTTGCTTCCATATGATATTCGTCAAGTATCGAACAATACTTTTTAAAAAATAGTTCCACGTTGGTTCTATTGAAACTGGTCGCTCGAGCAATACTCGCTTGTGGAAGTCTCAAAGACAAAACTTCGTGGCGTTTCATGAACAATCTGAGCCAAACTTCACCAGCCATTTTGGTTTGCATCCAAGAAGAAGGGCACTTTTTGTCATATGCCACAGCAAGCTTATACGCAAATTTTCTAGCTTCTTTTGTACTCATCCCAAAATTGGCATCAGAGCAGGTCAAAACGTATTCACACAATGATTTTTCTTCCTCTTTGGTAAACACGGTGGGGCGATGATATCCAATTGAGGGTGGTTGGATGGTCTTATTGCTCTCATAAGCTTGTTTTTTCTTAATGTATCTTTAAAGCGACGTATGGTTTATATCATAACTTGTGGCAGCATCACGAAGAGATTTATTACGTAGCATCACTTCTTCGGAAGCCTGTTCGTAAATTTCTTTGCTTGCCATACCCCGATTCGTCTTTCGCTTGTATTCGTTCGGCATCCTAAAACAAAAAGAGCATAAGACAGACTTCAGGCATACTGACAAAATTCAAAAACGTATATAAAAAGTCAATTGCAAAATTGAACGCAAACGAGGTAAGTTGAAACAGGCTGTTTCAACTCTCCTGGAGTACAACAATCTGCCGCCATTATGGTTGAGCCGGTGTTACCTCGTTGTGCAATACAGTGTTACAAAAACATTGCTACAGACTGAATCTTGAATGATTAAGCTTTCAGAAAACATACAACACATTGTAATAAAACAGTACATAAATCAAAATATTGATAAAGTTAAAATATGACAAAAACTTACTTTTGTTAAATTTTTCACATCACATTTGATAACGTTGTAAGCGTGGACTGGAGAGCGGTAACGAAACCTTCACTTGTGTGCAGGTGGCAGCAGAGGCAAATAAGCGTTGTTTCCAGCTCCATAACGTCTTTGGTTTCCACAAAAATTCTGTTGTTTCAACTTACCTATGTTTCAACCCTCCTCGGTCTCCCCTACGCGATTAAATTCTGTGTGAAACTCGGCAAATCTGCGACAGAGACGTTTGATATGATCAAGCAGGCTTACCCAGGTGTTGCTTTAGCACGAAGTGGTATGTTTCGGAGGCACCAGGTCTTTTTGGAGGGCCGGGAAGAGTTCGCTGATGAAGACCGTACTGGAAGACCTTCGACTTCGACAAACACCGATAATGTGACTCGTGTGCTCAAAGTTTTGAACTCAGACCGTCGACTAAGTATTCGTTTAATTGCCCAGATGTTAAATTTACCAAAATCTGTGGTTCATGACATTGTGACGCAGCATTTGAACATGCGCAAGGTGTGCGCGAAGATGGTCCCAAAAGTGCTCACTGACGACCAGAAATTGCGGCGAGTGGAAGTGTGCCAAGAAAATTTGAACATGTGTGAAAGTGACCCCCAATTTTTGAATAACGTAATCACAGGTGACGAGTCGTGGATCTTTGAGTATGATCCCGAGACAAAGAGGCAATCTTCCGAGTGGCACACGACGGCGTCTCCTCGCCCAAAAAAGGGAAGAATGAGCAAATCCAAAGTGAAAACGATGCTCATTGACTTTTTTGGCATCAAAGGCATCGTCCATCATGAATTTGTTCCTCCTGGAAAAACCGTCAACGCCAAGTTTTACGTGGAAGTGCTCAGGAGACTCAAACGAAGGGTCAGTCGGGTCCGACAAGACATCGCAGCCGACTGGGAGTTGCACCACGACAACGCCCCGGCTCAAACCGTCTTTCTTGTGACCAAGGCCGGCATCCCAACGCTTCCGCAGCCGCCCTACAGCCCAGATGTGCCCCCCAAATCGACTCAGTCCTATTACTTTCCAGACAAACCCTGTAGAGAAGCCTGAATGCCAGAGCAGCGCGTCTGCTATCAGAAGAAACTTTGTTAATCCGATTCTTGGACTGCCTCCTCACGTAGATTGTCCCTAGGGACAAAGGGTCGATCGTATCGGCCAGTTCTGGATGAACGATGTTCTCCATTGAATGTTCGAAAAAGTCTCCCGGTCGGCAAGTCCGTAATGCCAAATTTTGCGGCCTGAGCAAGTTTCTGCTACCACTGCCGGTTCTGACCGAAACCTAACCTCCACAACACCGTGGTCTGTCTTACCCAGGGAAGACAAGACATCAGTGCTGTAAGCGGCAGGATGCGTGGCCAGAAAGAGATCAGCAGGCTACTGGCAAGTGACAAACCGTAAGTAGGGCTCGTCACCAGCTGGGTCAGTCTTTGGGTAGAACCTAATAGTTTTTATTAACAGAAGGCACATACCAAGCTTATTGATACAACTCCAATCTTCTCCTCATAGGTTGAAGAACTATTTATGTTCATTTCTTAATGGGTACCACCCCATAATTATGATTTCCTGCTGGAGTTGCGTATTTCAAAATTTCTGGATGGCCAGATGTGCAGGCTTCAGTCCAAAGGTCAAGCGATCAAAAAATCAGGTACTCCTCGACTCAACCAAAGATCGAAATATGTTTTTCTTAAATGCTCTACAGTATATTCAGATAAGAGATAGACCGGATGTAAACAAAAGGTTCGGGTGATTTTCACGCTAACGCCGCCGTCTCGACGTAAAACAGGAGCCCTCATTGGTCAATTCGCAATTAAATGCCTATGCCGAGCGGCAGAGCAGTCGTATCAAGGCAGAGTCACATTCAGGTTCAGACGTGTTACGTATGTCGTGTGCATCATTGCAATTTGATATTTCTTTGGACGTTTTCGTTTGTTATCTTATTAAGTTGTTGAGTTTGTCGTTGTTATTGTTATACCTTGTTATTGATTGTTATTGTTATCAACTGCTTGCGCAAAATGCCCAGTAGTACAGATACTGCCGATGAAGTTGTAAACTCCTGTAGTCCACCTAGGAAACGCTCTAAAAAAAGACACCTGAGTGCAGAAATGAAAGAGGTCATTTTGAATATATATAAGATCGAGCGCGAGGAGAACGAGGCATCAACCATCAAAGAAATTGTTGTGAAGGTTTCTCACAAAGTTGGGGTGTGTCGCGCATCAGTGTTTAATGTGTTAAGACAATACAAAAAAAATCACACCTTTTCTGAGCCAATGACCAGTAAACATCGCAAAAGTATTGTTAAATCATTGGATGAAGCTGATAAGCATGCGATTAGGAGGAAAGTGCATGAATTCTTCTTTAGGAATGAAATACCTACTATAGATAAAGTACTGCAGGAGGTAAATGGAGATACAACGTTGCCAAATTTCAAACGATCAACTTTCCATGCGTTACTGAAGCATTTATATTTCAAATGGAAAAAACGGGGTCGTAATAGTTTACTACTGGATAGAGAAGAAATTGTGCTATGGAGGAGGGATTATTTAACAAAAATTGGGAAATATAGAAATCAAAACAGGAAGATTTATTACCTTGATGAAACGTGGGTAAACGCAGGACACACTACAAGTAAAGTATGGGTTGATGATTCTGTAACTTCATCCAGGAGGGCCTTTCTAGATGGACTGTCCACCGGATTAAAAAATCCAGCAGGTAAATACGAGTAATAGACAACAATCGGATGTTTTTCAAACCTTGGGAACAAGGTTCTAAACATTAATTCCAGGGGGCAGATAAAACATATTACAAAACTTTTATAACTTTCGATAAAATGCGTGGATGTTTTATTGTCATTTTCATTTGTTAGAACTTTTTTAACCCATGTTTTTATGTGTTTTCAATATTTCAATAATGTTTTAATATAATCTTAAAAAATGTCGAATATTATAAACTTAAAAAAAGTTACTAAGTTTTATATTGTGTACCGTTCCTAATATTTCTAATCATTTTAATTCATACTTTAAGCTTTATAATGTTATAATTTGTTCATATTAATATTTGCGCGTATTTCAGGTTCCTGATCATTCATTTTTTAAAGGTTTATAACTTTAAATTAAATTGTGAAGCGCTGAGTAATCATACGACGTTCAATATTCTTTCTTTCAATATGACTAAATAATCCCAATTATAGCAATCTGATACTCATGTCTCAATGTTTTTTTGCTGAATGTGATGAAAACATTTGAAAAAGGTTCGCTTATTGAAATAAATCTACACCAGTTAGTACTTCGATTTCCAGGTAAAGGGAAAAGGCTCATTATCTGCCATATTGGCAGTGAGGATGGATTTGTTGTTGACGGTCTGTGGTGCTTTGAGTCTAAGAAAATTGGAGATTACCACGAGGAAATGAATGGCGAATCGTTTGAACAGTGGTTTTCAAAAATTTTACCGAACTTACAGGAAAACGCAGTAATTGTGTTGGATAATGCGCCTTATCATTCTCGAAGAATGGAGAAGGTCCCAACAACGGCTTCAAGGAAAGTTGATGTTCAAAATTGGCTCCGCTCGAAAAATATCAACTTTCAAGAAGCAATGCTGAAAGTACAATTATTAAGAATTGTCAAGGATCACAAGGCGGAATATCAAAAATACGCCATTGACGAAATGGCAGCAAGTCAAAATAAAACTGTGCTCCGTTTACCTCCATACCATTGCGAGCTCAATCCCATTGAGCTCATATGGGCAGAGGTTAAAAATTATATAGCTAAGCACAATACAACTTTTAAATTTTGTGACCTCAAAGGACTTTTCAAAGAAGCACTAGAATTAATAACAGCGCAAAAATGGGAAAACTGTATTAAGCACGTGAAAGACAAAGTTGAAAAGAGAATGTGGGAACTGGACAATATTTTAGAGGAACATGTGGAGCCATTCATTATTGACGTTGGTGCTTCAGGCAGTAGCGATAATGAAAGCTCATCAAGCTCATCTTTCCAATAAAAGATGTCGTTCATAAAATTCGGTAAGTTATAAGTAATTATAAAGCTACTGTATTTTTTAATTAATTATTGACATTTTTGAACCCATTTTGGCAAAACCTATTCAAGAACCTACTTTCTGACAATGTTCAACCATGCACATTTTTTTACGTTTTGAACGTTTTAATTTGGTTACATATTTACCTAGAAATCAAAAAATATACTAATCAATATTCTAAAAGCAATTTTAAGAGATATACGATTATTTTTAATTTAGGCTAATTTAAACGCCATTTTGAGATTATATTCGACTGTATTTCACCAAACATCAGGCGGCATCCGAAGCTGGAAATCGAAGCGAAAATTTTGAAACCCTCATGTATATTTCCATCATTATATATTTCTTACCCTACCCCCACATGATCCTATATCCATCACCAATCGTATACACATCGAATTGTGCTAATTTACTACAAAGTTACGCAAAGCAGCATCTACTATCTAAAATATGTACTGCGTGACTCTTAATACGTCCCTGCCGAATGTTACAGCGTTCGATGATCACGTGGTCTTGTTTATGTCCGGTCTATCTCTTATCTGAATATACTGTAGATCAATCTTTCTCAAAGTGGGCGATAACGCCCTCTTGTGGGCGCTGGGGAGCTGCGGGACAGCAGTAAAGAGCCTAAAGGAAATTGGCGAGAGTAAAGATTCTAAAGGAAAATGGGAGGCGATGAACTGATTTGGTATGGCGACGCAATGGATAATCTTTGTACTCCACTCTTCAATTGTTACAAGGACATTCGCTCTCAGAAGCACTGATGCAGACGAACCCTCTCGCTCTTCAATTCTACCCCCCTCAACCGTACTAAAATTGCTCAACTCAAGGGATGACACTGTTACATTTGGCTCAATTCCAATGTCAGATTGCTTGGGGCATTGAACACATTGGCAAAGAAAGTTTTTGACGATAACTGACACGCCACTATGCCGATTAATTAAAAAAAATACAAAGCCTATTTACCCTTGACATTCAGATTAGATTTATTGTGGTTACAACATCTGGCTATTGGCGTAAAGAATCGAAATATCCTACCATCCTTCAAGGTCTAAGCTTAAAATCAATACACGAAATAAAACCATATAACTTCACAGTTACGATTATACTACTGAGTTGAAAAAAAAAACTTTTCAACTTCCGACGACGTAACGTATCCGAATGCATTATTTCAACGATTAACCTCCATAAAGTAGAAGCTTTGTGGACAAGACAAGACCACTAAAGTTCGACGACCCGAGACCTAAATGTTACCTGCCTTCAGAGCAATGTTGCCAGCCTTCCTCCCTGAATCAACTGAATCCTCCAAGTCTGAAGAAGCTGCACAACATAGTTTCGGTCTTGAATAACTCAAATCATTCAATAACGTATTTGGATCACAACAATAAAAACATTCTTTTTCCTTCCAGACAAAGATCAAGAGCTCAAGATTTTCATCCCCACGTGAATCGGTTCCAAAGTAACCTTCGTCGGCACGTGTTGTTTGAATATGTGTAAGAAGTCAAGAGTTAGGTTTGATATACTAAGTGACATATAAATCCGAACACCCAGTTTAAATGGTTTTATTTTAATAAAATTTTGTATAAGTACTTAATGAAGCATAATAAGTGAATGATAAAAATTTCAAAATGATTGCACTGCTTTAAAGCCCTTTGACCTTTAATAATGTGTGGATGCACCATGATGTGCTACGCATTCTCCAACGCGCCTAGGCATGCTTCTGATCAGGTGGTCAATGTCCTCCTGTGGTATCTCATTCCAGCCAACCACCAACTCCTCCCGAAGTGCTTCTAGAGGCTGAGGAGAACGTTGCAAATTGAGCAATCTAATACCCATCATATCCCACACGTGCTCAATTGGGGATAAGTCGGGAGATCTTGGTGGCCATGGTAACAATGTGACATCAGTATGTTGAAAGAAGTCTATTGTGACTCTTGCAACATGTGGTCGGGCATTATCTTGTTGGAAAGTTGGATCTGCCAGGGTGTCAAGATAGGGTAAAAGACGGGGTTCTAGAACTTCGTGGATATAACGCTGCGCGTTCATGTTACCTTTGATGAAGATTAAAGGTGACCTGGAACCATAAGCTATAGCACCCCAAACCATAACACCAACAGTGTGATGAACATGTCTTTCAACAAAAAACTGTGGATTCCTCCTTTCACCACGTCGCCTTCTAACCCTGGCATGACCATCGTGCATGCCTAAACAAAATCGAGACTCGTCACTAAAGACAATACTGTTCCATTCCTGATCCCAGAGTGACCGTTGTCTGCACCACTCGATTACGTCGGTGTTCTCGAGTTAAAGGGAGGCCCCAGTGTGGCCGGTATGAAAACAAGCCAGAACTTCTCATTCGTCGGTAAACACTTCGCATGCCAATAGGTCTTCCGTGTTCTGCAAACCATTCATTTGCAATGGACCTGGTAGTGGAGAAACGGTCCCTTGAGGCCAATAATCTTAGGCGGCGATCTTCACGGTCTGTTTTTCTACGGCGGCGTCCAGTGCCCCTTGCACTTTGCGTACGGCCTTCTCGAAGCCATGCCTGACAACACCTAACCACAGTGTCTACACTTCTTTGCACTCTAACTGCAATTGCCCGAAAAGAAAGTCCAGCTTCCCGAAAGCCCACTATACAGCCCCTATCAAACTCACTAAGTTGACGAAATCGTACAGGTCTCCGTACTCTAGGCATCGTAACCGATCGTAAAGGATGTCAAGAACCAAAATCCGCCAACGTTGATTCTTTACTGCGGCTGAAATATTCATTTTTAGAGCGTTAGTGAATTAAAAAAAAAGCAGTATAAAAACCGGAATGTCCAACTGATACGGCTGAACATTTTTTCACTTGTTATTTACAGTAAGATAAATACATTCACCAACTTTTATTAAAATAAAACCGTTTAAACTGGGTGTTCGGATTTATATGTCACTTAGTATATATAAGAAGATTGAAAAGTTAAAAATTGCACAAAATGGCGCAATTTATTCTGTAAACGCGTCTGCGCTATCATATTCGAACTTTTTTTATACTCCACCTATCATGAAGGCCTAAACACCCATGGGTACCGTAGGGCTATAGGGGGATACAGGAGAAAATGAGGGGCGCCACACGGTCTCCAGCAAGGGAACACGTTGCATGCAGCAAGCACGCATTCTGACCCCGCCTACGAGATCCGCCGGGTGGTACCTCCGCGTCAGAGACCGTCTATACTATAACTATCTAAAACTGTAATGACTCATCGATGTTCACGTGAACATCACTAAACTACCAGTAGTCGGCTGTTCATAGGCGGGGTATGAATGTTTAACATGGGTGAACTAGATTTGTCACATGCTTAATAAAGAGTGGTTTGAAACATATTGTAAGTCAAAAATTTGGGAATTACCTTTATTCATCGTCGCTTCCACTTACATCTGACAGTAATAAACTGTCGCTATCGCTTTCCTCGTTGAAATTGACTATAACTGGCTCTATGATGGTGTCGATGTGGTGGTCAAGCTGCCACATTTTTGTTTCTTCCTTTACAACATGACGGATAGCATTCTGCCAAGCTTCGGGCGTTACTAGCTGTATGGATGTCTCAAGTAAAACCTTAACGTCTGGTAATTTGAAGGTTGTGTTATGGCGCGCAATATAACCCTTCACGTGAGCCCAGATGAGCTCTATTGGGTTCAGTTCACAGTGGTAGGGCGGTAACCGCAGCACAGTGACACCACATTGACGGGCCATCTCATCAGTCACGTAACTAATGTTCACAGGTTTGTGCTGTTTAATTTTTTCATACAATTCCGCTTTCACAAATGAATCGTCAAACGGGATTCCTTTTTCGCGCAACCATTGCTGCATGTCACTTTTTCGAGATCCCATAGTCGGTACACGTTCGGCTCGACGACTATGACGATCACAGAGTTGGGCTCAACTCGCTGAAGCACCCCTTGAAACCAGCTCTCGAAGCAGCTGGCATTCATTTCGTCATGGTAATCACCTCCTTTCTTAAAGACAAAAATCAAGTCACACTCTTCTAAAAAGCCACTATCGCTACCAATATGAGTTACGATCAATCTTTGACCTTTCCCTGACGGTCCACGAAGACCTGTTGACAAACCTTCAATGCTTGCTTGTCGGTTACTCACTACGTTTTTGTCTATCCAGGTTTTTTTAACTGTGTGACCTGCATTTACCCATGTCTCGTCCAAATAATAGATTTTTCTGCTTTGTCGCCTATATTCAATCATTTCGCGTAGGTATTTTCGACGCCAGGCGACTATTTCAGGTCTCTCTATCAATACTGACTTCCGATTACGCGTTTCGTAACGAAAATTAATTTCGTGCAGGGATTTCCTCATTACCTCGACGCTCATTTGGGGTATAATTTCATTTTCCTTGATCGCTGCATGTACAGCCTTGAGGGTTGGTATCTCATTCCTAAAGAAGAATGAATGTTCGGTTCGCCTTAACGCCATTTTGCTATCGTCATCCAATTTAATGGCCTTTCGTCCCTTCAAATTAAACTTTGGATCAGTAGTAGCTCCAGTTTTCTTCTTTTCATGCACCACCCTGCGAATACACATACACATAGTTCTGTTCAGATAATTGAACACGTTCGGCACAATTTCTTTCGCGTCCCTCTTCAGTGCTTTACCAAACCGTCTACTTGTTCCCTGGCTTTCAGTACTTCCACTCGTGCCATTTGTACTCTTCATGGTTAAGTATAACCAAACAGTAACCACAGAAACCACAACAATAACAATCACACAACAATTCTTATAAAAACACACAATATGCGATCGCTCAACGAAACACGTTCCAATGCGTTGCCGACGCCTATGAGTCTGCCGGTCGAGGCGCGTCTTTGATTTCATTGGTTCTACCGGCGGAGAACAATCAGCCATTATTTCCATCTCTGTCTGTGCTGTTGACCACCGCAAAGCCACAGAAACGACATATGTCGTACGCTATACGGCTGTACTGGAAGGAAGCCGGGATCGAGCTCTGATCACGCGTTGATCACAGGTATGAGTCATTACAGTTTTAAATAGTTGTAGTATACCTCCTACGGACAGTCAAAACACCCATAGCCAAGAGAAAAATTTCTCTTGGGACGGGATTCGAGCCCGCGCAGCGCACGGTGACTGATTAGGAGACTATGCCTCCGCTGCGCTTTTCGTTCACATCAGAACCAGAACTGTTAGAATCTGTTTGGAATAATTTCGGAATTTTTTTTGAACAGAAAACTGCTAGTTATAGAATCAGTTCCATTTTCTGTTCGAACGGTAATTTTGACATTCGCTTGCTCTGTTCAGTTCAGAACTGGTTCCATGGTTTGTAGAAACAAAGCTAGTGTCTGCAACAACATAAAATTAATATAATTTTTAGTTATCCAGAAGTTGATGATTTCATCTAATATTCGGGAGCATACAGTATATTTGACATCGCTATAGTTAATTTACTATGTATCTAATACTTCTCCATCATACTTTCGAACAACTACAAAAAGTTGAAAGAAGTAGTGAAAAGCTTTATGATGGACTACGCATTTTATAGTATCAATGAATTCTTAAATAAGTCATGGTGCCGAATTAGGCAAATTGGTACTTGGGATCAGCAGTGAATCCTAGCACTAAATTGACATCGATTCCGGAATACAGTGGACCCCAGATAATCCGGCCCCTGTCTAATCCGGCGCCCCTTGTAATCCGACATGTCTTTGAATATTACATACATACGTATTTGACAATCTTCGCTAATGTAGATCACGCAGGTTTGAACAGGTTACAACTTGTACGCGCCACAGGTATCGTGCTCGACGCGTAAGCATTGTTTTACTTAGTTTGGATTTGACTACTTGTGATAGCGGTACGGCCTGGCGTGCGTTCATTGTTTACTATTTATTCATTGTGTATTAAACTCAGAAGCGAAAGCACAAAACATTGACAATTAAAGAAAAATGTGATATTTTAGACCGCTTAAATCACAATGAAACTTTCGGTAGTTTAGCAAGTGAATACGGCGTAGGCCGATCTACAATTTATGGCATTAAAAGAAACCACGAGAAGATCAAGAAGACTACTGACTGCGGGCCAGGCAAGAGACAGACACTCGAAAAAGCTGAACATCCAGAAGTGGATGAAGCTTTGTACGTGTGGTTTCTTCGGGAAAGAAATAGGCATGCACCAATTTCAGGACCCATGTTGGCCATGAAAGCTAAGTTTTTTTATAAGGAAATAACAAAAAAAGATGATTTTGTGGCCAGCAAAGGCTGGCTAGAACGTTTTAAAAGTCGTCATGGCATACGTTTAATGACTATTACAGGAGAGAAACTTTCTAACGATGCCAACTGCATAGAACCCTTTAAATTAAGATTTTTGCAAAAGGTGAATGATTTAAATCTTGACCCGTCACAGGTGTACAATGCAGAGAATCAGGGCTTTTTTGGCATGTGATGCCTAACAAATCCGTACCTGGACGAAAAGTAAGTAAAGAGCGTGTAACCATACTACCATGTGCTAACGCTGCGGGCACACACGCGCTTAAGATGATGGTCATTGGGAAATCTAATAAACCACGGGCATTCAAAAACATTGATTTACCTGTACACTATTACGGACAAAAAATTGCATGGATGACAAAAGACCTTTTCAAAAAGTGATTTGATGGATGCTTCGTACCTGAAGTTGGAAAATGGTTAAAAGATCATAATTTTCCTCAAAAAGCGTTGTTGCTTCTTGATAACGCTCCCGGTCATCCGTCTGAAGAAGAACTAACAACTGAGGATGAATACATCACTGCGATGTTTCTTCCGCCAAATTGAACTGCACTGATTCAACCAATGGACCAGAATATCATTCAATTTGTCAAGCAAGACTATAAGAAAAACCTACTTCTGTGAGCCGTACCAAAAGACCAACCAATAGAAAAACTTTGAAAGAATTTAGTATGAAAGACTTGGTTTTTGCTCGTTGTCAGTCGTGGAATGCGTTACCGTCATCAACTATTAAATCGTCTTGGAAAAAGTTATGGCCAGATATAGTCACCACTCCTAGCAACGTTCCACAAATCAGTGTAACTTCGGAAGTTATAGAACAAGTCGCTACTGAAACACAGATAAGTCCGGAAGATTTGGAAATCTGGTGCCGTGGAATCGATAAAGAGGAAAATGTTTTTCATGAAATGTCTGACGAAGAGATTATAAAAGAGGTTTCTAATTATACAACAAACAATCAGGAAAATAACGTGATTGCAACTGCTCCACAAGTCACAGCACATGACGCAATTAACGCCTTTGAGCTAGGTTTACAATGGGCTGAAGAGGGTGGTACATCCTACAACGAACTTTTACTTTTGAGAAGACTGAGGGACAAAGCTCTGATCTCGCATTATAACAACCTTATACAAAAAAAATTATGAATATTTCCAAGCTTCATAATTTGATAAATTAATAATTTTGATTAATAATTCTTGATTATTTTGGTACATATGTATGTGCATTTATGCTAAATTTTATAATAGAACGTAAGCTATTGTTATTTAATTTACTAAATTCGACATACATAAGCTATGTATGATTTGTGCTTCAAAGTACATGGATATGTAATTTGTCGGATTACAAGGTACTCTTTTGTAATAAATTCCGGTCTATAGGGGATCTTAGGCAGTGCTCTGCTTTGCATAATGTTTGTCAGATTACCAGATGTCCACTGTATATGCACCCAATTTAGCTAGAAAACAAGCTTTCACCCAGATCATAGACGCGCCACGATTTTTGGAGACTTTTTATTATAGTCTTTTTTGATAAGTAGAATTCTTGCCAATATCTCGAGAACGGGACCTTTTCGGACTGAATGGGCTCCGAAATCGGTTTCAGGGACGCAAGAGATGTATTATAAGAATGATTTGGCTCATGTTTCAGCCTGATCCATATTTTGTCTCTTTGTATCATAATTAATACAATGGTCACTAATAAATTAAAATGCTTTAAATCCGCTTCAAATGAACTCTATCGTATGTATTTTGGGTCGGTAAAGCCGAATCCGAAGTAATTTCACATGTATCTGATCTTGTTTATCTTTATTCTATTATTTAATGAAAAATTGCAAAAATGTAAGAAGTTTGCGACTTTAGGGTGCTGATAATCAATTTTCTTTATCGGTGCCAATATGCCAACGATGCTTTCTGAATGATGCCGAATTAGAGGTAAAAAAATTGTTAAAAAGTAGTTACCTGGAGCCATTCGTGAACCTAGCACTAAATTGACTTCGAATTCGGAATCTACGCACGCGATCTACCTAGGAATAAGCTTCCACCCAGTTCATAGACGCGCAACAATTTTTGGAGATTTTTTCTAGTCGTTTTCCTGACAAGTAGAATTCAGATCCGTATTTCGACAACGGATCATTTCCAGATTGAATGAGCTCCAGATTTGGTTTCAGTCAACAAAGCAACGCATTATAAGGATGACTGAGCTCTCATTTCAGACTGACCCAATATTTATAGGAACATGTATACTAAGTGACATATAAATCCGAACACCCAGTTTAAATGGTTTTATTTTAATAAAAGTTGGTGAATGTATTTATCTTACTGTAAATAACAAGTGAAAAATTTGTCAGCCTTATCAGTTGGACATTCCGGTTTTTATACTGCTTTTTTTTAATTCACTAACGCTCTAAAAATGAATATTTCAGCCGCAGTAAAGAATCAACGTTGGCGGATTTTGGTTCTTGACATCCTTTACGATCGGTTACGATGCCTAGAGTACGGAGACCTGTACGATTTCGTCAACTTAGTGAGTTTGACAGGGGCCGTATAGTGGGACTTCGGGAAGCTGGACTTTCTTTTCGGGCAATTTCAGTTAGAGTGCAAAGAATGTAGACACTGTGGTTAGGTGTTGTCAGGCATGGCTTCGAGAAGGCCGTACGCAAAGAGCAAGGGGCACTGGACGCCGCCGTAGAACAACAGACCGTGAAGATCGCCGCCTAAGATTATTGGCCTTAAGGGACCGTTTCTCCACTACCAGGTCCATTGCAAATGAATGGTTTGCAGAACACGGAAGACCTATTGGCATGCGAAGTGTTTACCGACGAATGAGAAGTTTTGGCTTGTTTTCATACCGTCCACACTGGGTCCTCCCTTTAACTCGAGAACACCGACGTAATCGCCTTGAGTGGTGCAGACAACGGTAACTCTGGGATCAGGAATGGAACAGTATTGTCTTTAGTGACGAGTCTCGATTTTGTTTAGGCATGCACGATGGTCGTGCCAGGGTTAGAAGGCGACGTGGTGAAAGGAGGAATCCACAGTCTTTTGTTGAAAGACATGTTCATCACACTGTTGGAGTTATGGTTTGGGGTGCTATAGCTTATGGTCCCAGGTCACCTTTAATCTTCATCAGAGGTAACATGAACGCGCAGCGTTATATCCACGAAGTTCTAGAACCCCATCTTTTACCCTATCGTGACACCCTGGCAGATCCTACTTTCCAACAAGATAATGCCCGACCACATGTTGCAAGAGTCACAATAGACTTCTTTCAACATAATGATGTCACATTGTTACCATGGCCACCAAGATCTCCCGACTTATCCCCAATTGAGCACGTGTGGGATATGATGCGTAGCAGATTGCTCAATTTGCAACATCCTCCTCAGACTCTAGAAGCACTTCGGGAGGAGTTGGTGGTTGCCTGGAATGAGATACCACAGGAGGAAATTGACCACCTGATCAGAAGCATGCCTAGGCGCGTTGGAGAATGCGTAGCACATCAGAGTGCATCCACACATTATTAAAGGTCAAAGGGCTTTAAAGCAGTGCAATCATTTTGAAATTTTTATCATTTACTTATTATGCTTCATTAAATACTTATACAAAATTTTATTAAAATAAAACCATTTAAACCGGGTGT